CAACCTTATGCCTCCGGGGACCGTCGTCCCCCCACCTACAACCACCCACATTACCGTCGAACTCTCAGTACATGAGGGTACCATTAATTTCATTCACACAAAACCGCCAAACTCGTGAGCAAAGCTCAAGTAACAAACCACCAATCTCAATCATAGTCACACAAGGTCATCATCATTACCAAGAAGACTAAGACTCAACAATAGTCTTAATCAAGTATCAACAAAGGTACAATGATTTACATACGATCATATCATAGGAATCAATCAAGAGATCATAATCAAGATATAAGACCATACTCAATCAACAAAGGATTACCATCCAACACCAAATGATTGTCAACACATGTTGGCAATCTCAACACGAAGGAATAAACCACACATACTAGCACATCATCATCAAACTAGCATGCTTGTCAAACGGGTAAACCAAAATTTGTTCCAAACAACATTCAAGACTCACATTAGCCCAACGAATCATAATGTCGGACCCTTAGCACGATTCAAGACACCAAATCCTACATGGATTCCTAACATACCGTTATAGACATACGGAACATCAAGAAGACTCACAAATTGCCCAATAAAACAACATCGGGAGGTCAAAACATCAATACTGAGTTAAAAGAATCACAGGGAACAAATCTCCGCCATCATCCAACAACGTTCCCCGCGGGTGGGGCCACGGGTGGACAACCACCCGCGGTTCCACCCGCGGGTACATAACCCACGAGCCACCAGTTCCCCGCAGGTGGGGCGGCGGGTAGGGCCTTGCCCGCCGTTCCACCCGCGTGTACATCCCTATACACCAAAAATCCCTTCGGGGATTTTCATCTCCAAGGTCAAGTTCAAGTCCAAAACACCCAAAATCTCACACACAACAACAATATGACTTGAACCCAAGAAAATAGCCAAGCAATGGCATTCAAGAACCCTAAGAACAAGCTCTAAACATGCATCACCACAAGACAATGCATCAAATCTCACAAATCAACACAAGAATCACAAGTAGAAGCCAAGAATCATCATATAAGTATGAAAATAGGTTTTGTAAAGCATGGGTTACCTTTGTAGCCTATTAACTTCTTCTTTTCACCCTTACAAAGCCTTTCCTAGAGCTCCTCTTCCACACCAACTTCATACACAAACCAAAACACAACAAAGATCCTATCTTTAGAAAAAGACACCTAAAAGAAGGTTAAAAACACCAAAAGACTAAGGATCTTACCCTCCCCTATGCTCGAGATGAAGAAAGTAGGAATCTCGGGAGAAAAACTTACAAGACTTGGATGCTCAAATTCTAACTTGGAGAAGAAGCTAAACCTTTTTAGAGAGAGGTTAGAGGTTTTTGTGTTTAGATTGAAGGGTGAATGAAATGAAAGAATATTGCTAGGTTTGCTTGAACCACAAACCTTAGGTAGAAAGACATTCCTACCCTTACTAATGTTGGAAAGACAAGGGAACAAGGGTACAACTCAAGAAACACAAGGTACAACCCCTTTGACTTAAGTGACTAGTCAAAATCTAGTCCCTCGACTATTAAATTTCAGGATTTTTAGGAATAGATTAGCAAAGAGACTTGGATTAATTCTTTAATTAATCCTTGAGTAGTGTTTGGATTTACGGGGTGTCACACTAAGAGCCCCCCACACCCTGACCCGATAGAGCATTTGGGAGGATGTAAATCATGGTAACTCAACTGAACATGAACCACAAAGGCTAGACATTTGCTCACTGCGCACAAGGAACCCCCTCACTTTGAGAGGATATAGATTAGCATATATTAGCTCACCTAATGGTTGACACCTGTGGAGAGTACAATTTCAAATTTATCACCATTCATGGTTTTGAGTAATGACAATTTAATGTAAATTTTTTATTTTTTTATTTTTGAGTAACGAGGGAAACTCACAGTGTGCACCCTGGAAAGGACCACATGGCAGTAAACACCAATAGGTCATTCCTACTAGGAGTTAAACTTGTAACTTTGTTTTTACCAAGTCACAATCTGACCAACTTGGTTATGGTTGTCTAAATTTAATGTAAGTTTGCTGAGTAGGACTAATATAGATGTCTATGTTAACAATATTTGAGAGTGAATTCTATTGAGATAAGAAATAATTGTGATGATTAGTTCTCAAGCTTTTATCTGTGTCATGCTCTCTTGTGTTTCATTTGATATATAGTACATAGGGAATCTAGGGTGAAGCTGAATAATGGAGGTTATGGGGTCACTTAGATCACGTGGATGTTTTCAGTCATGATCAATAATAGTATGTCCTTGGGAATCTTTGTGCAAGGCTTTGATTTTTAGAGTAAATCATGCTTGTACAAATATATCACAAAAATGTACCACACCTCGAGACACGCGTTCACGCACTACCAGTTATGCATAAATGCATTACCACGTATTCAAAATTGCATCACGCTAAAATACACAAATGCACGCACCATAAATATATATAAATTATTTATGTTACCAAGAACCTCGATCTACTTCTTATCACTCAAAAAAAAATAATGGATTAGGAAATTAAAATGCAATTATGGCTATAATGGAGTGTACGTAGTAGCCAGATACATACGTCCACACTTGAATTATTTTGAGATCAACAAAGATTTGTACTAAATTAATTAGTTTAATTTGCCACTGCACAGTGGCATATATAGCTATGCACCACCAGTTTTAGTAGCAAAAATCGTCCACAACCGTTCGATCTCGCCGGGAACGTCGTCGGTGGGAAGCTTAAGCTTAAGATAAGAGAAGTGTACAATTAAGTTTGAATTATTATTTCATCAATTAATTTAAAAAAAAAAAAAAATCTACGGAATGTATTATTTGTTAAGTGGTCATTTGATATTTTCTTGTCAATTAGTTTCTTTAAAAAATAATTTCAAAAAATGTATTTTCCAGAAAAAAAAAAAAGAATTAAATCAACCCTAGCTTAGATTTATTTTTTATAATTTCAAAGAATTACATTTATTATTGATTCGAACTTTCTCAAATCAAAATTCGCATTAAATGTACTAACTTTTTCTATATTTTTTAAATTATTAAAAAATTGAATTTTCTTGATTGCCAAATGCATTATTATTATAAGTATATTACAAAATACAATGCATTTGTTGCATATGCGGAGTATTTATTCGTCTCGCGGGTTGTCAGTTGACACTTTTGTTGTATTACTATTTTAGTTACATTTGTTTCATACCTCTATACAAACATGACCGCATAGCGCAGTGGATTAGCGCAGTTGACTTCGGATCAAAAGGTCGTGGGTTCGACTCCCACTGTGGTCGCTGTTATTTTGGAGAAAAATTTGGTTCGCACTTCCATCCATCTTCGCGAGTTCCGGCGACAATGGTCACTGCAGCTTAGAAGCTTCTTCCTCCAGAGTCCAGATTTGCGACCAGGTGTTTTTTTCTATTTTTTTTTTTAAGCTTCTCCGCCGGACAACTAAGTTTGGCATTTCAAATCCTCCCAGGGGCACTAAAATAAGTTAGGCATTTCGAAATCGAATATATTCAAATAAAGTGGTCAAATTGAATACGAATCAAACTTGGGATTCGAATATTAAACGAATATGAATATTTATTAATTTAATCAAATTCAAATCAAATAGTAAGATATTTGACTCGATGCGATTCTTTTACATCCCTAACAGCTATAGTAAACCCTATGCAACTAGCTTGGTCAAAAGCGTGTTGACAAAAGAGTGACTATGCAACGAACTCAACTAAAAAGCCAACTAAATTCAAAACTCCAGAAGCAGTGACAATTGTTTTTTGAATGACGAGGAAAATTACATATAGATCCAAACAGTGATCTAGTGGATAGAAAGAATGTCATACTTAAAGCAAGCTCGCTTCGAGCAACAATGTAAGAGAAGTGTATAATAGAGTGTAAATTTAATGCTACTCAAATTCCAAAAGTAGCGGTAATTGTTTTTCGAATGACGACGAAAAATGCATATAGATCCAAATAGTGATCTGGTGGATAGAATATATTGTACTTCGCCAACTCGCTTCAAGCAACAAGACAAGAGTCCGTTTGGAAAGTATAAAAATGACTTCTAAAAAATGTTTTCTGAAAATGACTCATTTTCCGAAAAACATTTTCATTTTCGGTGTTTGGCTGCACAACAAAAAACTGTCTTTGTATGTTTGGTTCATTTTTCAGAAAACTAGTAGGAAAATGAACAAAATTGTATACTTCATCATTTTGATTGTTATAATGCCAAGAGAGATTTGATTTATCCTATAATCTTCAAATCTATTTTAAAAATCCAAAACAATAAATTTATTAAAAAAAAATTAAAAATAAATTGGACTGGTTTGGTCGCCGGAAACCAAACCAAAGCACTGGTTTGGTTTCTGGCTTGGAAAACCAGCGATTTTGGTTTTCCCCGACTTGAAAAATCGGATCTGTGGGTTTCTAAGTTGGAAACCATTACGTTTCCGACTGTCAGAAATGGTTTCCAGTGGTCGAGAAGATGTGAATGTCGCAAAGGTGGTCTCTGTAATCTTCGTACGAAGGACACGTTTGTGGTCTCAATGGTCTTGTGCTAAGAAGATGAAGCAGAAAATGACTTCCCTTCAAAATAAAAAAATAAAAACGGAAGTCATTTTCCATAAAAATGACTCAATTTTCTATTGACCAAGCTTCATTTTCTATTGACTTTAATATTTTCCTCCTTGCCAAACACTAAAAATCTAAAAAATGATTTCTAGAATTTATTTTTCAAGTTTCCAAAAAGAAAAGTGTACAATAATCAAGTGTGAATTTAAGGCTAGTCAAACTCATTTAGGACAAGAATCGCGCTCCATCCACTTTCTACTCTATTTGAGGCAGCATTTCTAAAATTTGGTGTACAGTTTAGCAAAGAGTATTATTCTAAGACAATTATACCAATCCATGCTGGGTGTGATCGTTACGCCTACCTGATGTTCACGGCGTCAAGTTAACAACCTTGAATGGTATCGTTCAATAAGCAGATAGCAGAAACAAAAAGATCGTATAATCACTACACATTGAACACAAAGGAAGAACACTGATAACATATTTAGTCTTTGGCCAAGAATATCTGAAACAAAAATCTCAAAACAGCATCGACTTTAACAAAAAAAAAAAAAAAAAAACCTAGAAATTTCACCTGGGAAAAGTTTTGTCTGTCCTTGATGTTCAGACACAACTAGTTCACTAATAAGCTGGTAATATATTAAACCTTAATAGCATATTTTCTCACTGGGAAGTACATCTCTCTCTTCTTCTGCCTTTCTGTCTTCAGAGACGCCTGCACATAAGACCCCGAGATTTAGTAATCAGAACAGAGTACATAATACTGATAATTAAAACACAATGAAGAGTTCACACCACTTCCGGTTGATTGTGTCTAAAAAGAAAGCATTTTTACACACTTGTGTAGTGGGTCACAAAAATAAAAGTGGGGAAAAGCTTCTTTCAGGTTCTCCTTGAATTCGAGTATCAGAACTGACTGATATAACAAGCCCTCTATAGGGTGTATGTTAACAGACAAGGTATTCCGTGATCAACGAAAAGTATAGCGTACTACCAACAAATGGTAGAAGGATAAACAAAGATTAATTTTACAGTAAATAACCACACTACATAATTTTACAGCCTTCATCTCTGGCCAATACATATACATGAAACATCCATCTCCCAAATAAACTATCCATTGAAGTGTGAATATTTATTGTAAACCATTTACTAAAGCAACGATCTAGAATGCCGTAAAAACCACCATGAAATATTCCAAGACCAACGTTACTACAAAGGATGCTTGTACAACTTCAAACAATAAATGATATGCCTAATTTTGCATGAGAAAGTACTCAAGCCATAACATCAAGAAAATAGCATAAATTGTGTGGTAAGTAAAACTGTCATGCTAAACATAGGAACCATCGCTTAAATGTTAGCCACTTGGACTAAATTAGAAACATGAAATCCCAAAAGTTCTAAAATTTGAAATTTCACAGAATAACCCTTCCCAGCCTAATTAAAAGAAAGGTATCAGCAAGAGTTACTTATACAAACTTGACAGAACAGGTGAGCAAGTCGTATTATGCAGGAACATGTAAGGGAAAGAGCAGATTAGATAACATATTCTTCTGAATTTAAGTAAATCACAGATTTTCAGTTTTCAAACAACCATCAAAACAAGGAAAAACCACTTTGGAATAAAAAAATGCAATCCTTTAACATTTGTAAATACCTGGTGCTTAGTGAGGCGCCTACGGATAGCTCTGGTCTTCTTAGGGCGAAGATCAAGAGGCAAATACTTCTTGTTCTCATAGGCTTTCCTTAGTGCTGCTTTCTGCGTCTGGGAAATCACTGTCAACACCTGAGCAATTGACAACCTCACCACCTTACTGCACCATCACATTTCAAATTTTCAATTCAGTGCATATCAATTAACATAGTTTCACGCACAAACACATATGCAGAGAAAAACAAGGAATATGCATAAAGAGAAACAATGTTCAGAATTTATTTTAACCAACAATAATATAAAATTACATCTTGGAGAGCTTATTGGGGGCGCCGCCGGTGACCTTGGCGACGCGGAGGAGAGCGAGCTCCGCCTTCAGATCCTTCAGCTGAACCAACAGCTCGGCCTTAGACTTCTGCCTCAGCTCATGTACCTTGATCCTCGCTGTAGATTAAATCAAAGGAAGGTTAAAGCAAGCTTAAACAAACGGAAATGTGAACTAACGAAGTGAATAAATCTGAAATCTGGAGATTCAGTGTTCATACCCATGGCACCTCTCTCTCTCTCTCTCTCTCTCTCTCTTCCGAGATTGTGAAGCGACCTAGCTGCTTAAGCGAGGATATGTTAAACCCTAATTTAGGGCATAAAGAAGTCCAAACGAATACAAATTTTGTTTGCCTGAAACTTGGGTTTAACTGCTTAAGACGCAAATTATGCCGTGGAATCGTGTTCACCGAGAATGGTGAACACAAGTTAAAACAACGTCGTTTTTAGGCAAAAAAAAAAAAAAAATTGCGAATGTGGAGTTAACGGCGTGTTACTGATCAAATTATGAATTTTCTGTTATGAGATTATGAATTTTATGAAAATTCATAATCTCATAACAGAAAATTCATAATCGCATAACAGAAAATTCATAATCTCACAACTGAAAATTCATAATCTCATAACAGAAAATTCATAATCTTATAACAGAAAATTCATAATCTCATGGTTCCAAAGTGAATGTGTAGGCATGGTTCCAAAGTGAATGTGCATGCATGGATTCATAATTTATGAATGTCCGTGATTTCGGACGGGAATATGTAGTCATGGTTCCAAAGTGAATGTGCATGCATGAATTCATAATTTATGAATGTCCGAAACTCCGAAATTATGAATGTAATGAAAATTCATAATCTCATAACAGAAAATTCATAATCGCATAACAGAAAATTCATAATCTCATAACAAAAAATTCATAATCTCATGGTTCCAAAGTGAATGTGTAGGCATGGTTCCAAAGTGAATGTGTAGGCAGTCACCGTAATTAAAAAAAAAAAAAAAAAAAAAAAAAAAAAAAGATAACGGTGCACTAACACCGTTGGAACCGTGTTCACCATGAATGGTGAACACGGTTCCATGGCATAACGTCTGTGCTTAAGAGGTGAAGGCTCAAAGTTTTAACATTTGGACTTCAATGATTGGGCTTGAGGCCCAATCCAATGGCAAAATGAATCAATAATTATATCGTGCCCATGTGATGTGTATAGCTCCAATCGTTATATCCTACACCACGGCGCACATAGCACTGTGCGCCGCGCGCCTCCCAAAACGACGTCGTTTTGGGGTAGTGTTGGGAGGCGCGGTAAGAAGTTGCTGAGATTATGTGTATTTGTTCACAACGTTATGTGTATTTGTTCACAACGTTATGTGTATTGGTTCATACAGTTATGTGTATTTTTTATACAATTATGTACATTCTTTTTATACAATTATGTACATCCGAATCAGAAAATTTGTGTGTATTATGTTAAGAGTTGATGTGTATTATGTTAAAAGTTTATGTTTATTATGTATTATGTTAGATTATGTGTATTATCTTTTAAAAAGAGTATGTATATTTTATTATATAATTATGTACATTCATGTATAACATTATGTGTATTCTAGTATAACATTATGTACATTCTTGAACAGCGGATTTTTTTTTAAAGAAAAAACTACTGTCATTCACTGGGGCGGGAAATTTCAAAAAAAAAAAATAATAATTAAAACGACGTCGTTTTGCATCTGGGCGCATAGTGCAACGCGCACCGTGGTGTAGGATATAAATTGCCGTATAGCTCATGACGGATAAAACACACACTCTACGATAGCATCCAAGTTCTTTTTTCCATTCCAAATTGAACACTCAAGATCAAGGTTGGTGCAAACATACATAAAAACACAAAGATGTACTCCAAAATTTTAGTGCAAGCCACCATTCAAGAAATTCTTCATCAGATTTTTCACTCTAAAGAAAAGATGAAGGAAACAAATTTAAGACCAACCAAGGAAAGTTTCCTGCAAATTTGAAAAAAAGCTACTACTAAAAAGTTGGAAAAACAGCTACTTTAAAAATTTGGTGCTCATTATGTACATGGGACCTAATTTTCAGATAAAATTAAAGACTTCATGGCTAAGAAATGAGGGTCTGTCCCTTCCAAGAGATAAGATCAAATTATCTTTGAGTTGTAAAAAGATAAGATAAGATTCGTTCTTATCTTCATCTTTATTACAACATTGTGAAAATGTAACATATGTACAAAAGTAGCTTATAGGATAAGATCATATCTTATCTAGATCGTAGCTTATAGGATAAGATCATATCTTATCTTTATCACTCTAGATAGTAGGTATCTGTAATATCCTAGAACCTTCTATCTCTTGTATAAATATGTGTGATGATCTCTGGGTAAGACACCCACAATCAACTATCTTATATATGCATCTTTGGTAGTTGGAAACGTAATGGTTTCCAACTTAGAAACCTACCGATCTGGTTTTCTAAGTCGGAACAGTTTGATTTTCTAACTTGGAAAACCAAAATCTCTGGTTTTCCAAGCCAGAAACCAACCCAGTCCAATTTTTATTTTTTTTTTAAATAAATTTATTGTTTGGGATTTTTAAAAATAGATTTGAAGATTATAGGACAAACCAAATCTCTCTTGGCATTATAACAATCAAAATGATGAAGTATAGAATTTTGTTCATTTTTCTACTTATTTTTTAGAAAATGAACCAAACACACAAAGACATTTTGTTCATTTTCCTACTCATTTTTTAGAAAATGAACCAAACACACAAAGACAATTTTCTGTTGTGCAGCCAAACACTGAAAAGGAAAATGTTTTCCGAAAAATGAGTCATTTTTAGAAAATATTTTCCAGAAGTCATTTTCATACTTTCCAAACGGACCCTTGTTGCTTGAAGCGAGTTGGCCTTAAAGTACAATATATTTTATCCAACAAATCACTGTTTGGGTTTATATGAATTTTTCGTCGTCATTAGAAAAACAATTACCACTACTTTTGGAATTTGAGTAGCATTAAATTCGCACTCTATTATACATTTTTCTTATATTGTTGCTCGAAGCGAGCTTGCTTTAAGTATAATATTCTTTCTATCCACTAGATCACTATTTGGATCTATATGTAATTTAAACAATTGTCACTGCTTTTGGAGTTTTGATTTTTTTTTTTTTGAAATAAAAAAGTTAATTCATTAATTATAAGATGAAAAGTTTACAATAAGATCGATGGAATGATAAATCATTCTTACACACATTGAAACAAATTACCAATGCTACACGAATCTTGAATCTCTGACTGTTTTTCAAGATTGAAGCTGAATTCGTTTGGAGAACCTGAAGCTTCTTTGATATTGCTAATGATCTTGCTACCCAAGTCTGACTCTATTGCGACTCTTCTGTCCATAGACAGTATCTCCATTAATCTGAACTGAGGAAAACTCGCTAAAGATACGAGAGGAAAAAACTCACACAGGAAATGAGAGGGGATAATTTTAACATAACAACAGATGAAAATCAAATCTAAAACAACCAAAACAAATCCTAGACACCAAACCACTAGCTAATATATATATATATATATATATATATATATATATATATATATATATATATATATATATATATATATATATATATATATATATAATCACGTTCAAATGAGAACGGTGCGCTCAGGAGAGAACTCAGAACGCATGACATATGTTCACGTGTCTAGATCTAACGAATGAGAAACATTGATTTGAAAAAAAAAACGCAGTGATATTTTCGTAAATAATTGAACATCGAAGTGAAAGTAAAATGTATTACAAGTACAAGTAGCAGTTTCATATAGTGCACCTAAGTGTAAGTAAAATGTATTACAAATGCATGTAAAATGTATTACAGGTGCAAGTAATATTTACACTAAGCATCAATACTAAGTGCACTTAACGTTATAACTTGGTGCACCTAACGTTATAATTAGTTGCACCTAGGTGCACGAATGTTAACAAGGTAAATTACTTCCACTTGTAAGTGAAAATAGTTGCAGTTGTATGTGATTTTACTTACAAACTAGCATAAGTTACTTACACTTGTAACACATTTTACTTGCACCAAAGTTCGAATTATTTACGAAAATGTCAATGCGTCATTTTAAAAAAAAAAATTACACCTGATTCATTGAATCTGGACACGTGGACGGCTGTGAGTGGTTCTGTATGTTTAGGATCATGTACGAATGAGTCTCTAGGTAAAAAATGTGCACAAATCTCAGCCATTGAATTATCATCTGATGCTCTTTAAAACAAAAAATCCTTTCGAATTAATTAAAATTGTGCACTTGAAGATATAAAAATGTGCACTCGAAGGTAAATAGATGTGTAATTGATGCAATTTTTGGTACCAAAAAGGAAAATTATTCAACTTAAATGTTATTAAAGCAATTACCCATACAAATCGTTTGTAAATCTCACAAATTTAATTAGAAATTTAGTTATATGTTATTGAAAAGCATGCGCTAGATATAACAAATACTACCCAGAATTGTGCACTTGAAGGCAAACAAAAATATGCACTTGAAGGCTAAAAACATGCACTAGAAGGAAAAAAAAAATAGGTTCACTTGAACGCTAAGTATTTTTTTTGTAACATAATAGTAAGACACACATACACTTGTAGGCATTAAATTGAGCACTTGAGTGCATAAAGAGGATCACTAGAAGGCAAGGGAAAAAAGGAAAAAAAAAAAAAAAAAAAAAAAAAAAAAAAAAGACACTAAAAAGGCTACAAATCGTGCACTTGAGGTTAAATTTTTACACTCAAAGGCACAAAGATGTGCACTCAAAGAAGAAACTATGTATGTGACACCCCGTAAATCCAAACACTAATCAAGGATTAATTGAAGAATTAATCCAAGTCTCTTTGCTAATATATTCCTAAAAATCTTGAAATTTAATAGTCGAAGGACTAGATTTTGACTAGTCACTTAAGTCAAAGGGTTGTACCTTGTGCTTCTTGAATTGTGCCCTTGTTCCCTTGTCTTTCCAACATTAGTAAGGGTAGGAATGTCTTTCTACCTAAGAATTGTGATTCAAGCTAACTTAGCAAGACTCTTTCATTTCATTCACCCTTCAACCTAAAACACAAAAACTCTAGCCTCTCTCTAAAATGATTTAGCTTATTCTCTAAGCTAGAATTTGAGCATCCAAGTCTTGTAAGATTCCTACTTTCTTCATCTTGAGCATAGGGAGGGGTAAGATCCTTGGCTTTTTGGTGTTTTTAACCTTCTTTTAGGTGTCTTTTTCTGAAGTTAGGATCTTTGTTGTGTTTTGTTATGTGTGAGAAGTTGGTGTGGAAGAGGAGCTCAATAAAGGCTTTTAAGGGTGATAAGAGGAAGTTGTAAGGCTACAAAGGTAACCCATGCTTTACAAAACCTATTTTCTTACTTATATGATGATTCTTGGCTTCCACTTGTGATTCTTGTGTTGATTTGTGAGATTTGATGCATTGTCTTGTGGTGATGCATGTTTAGAGCTTGTTCTTAGGGTTCTTGAATGACATTGCTTGGCTATTTCTTGGGTTCAAGTCATATTATTGTTGTGTGTGAGATTTTGGATGTTTTGGACTTGAATTTGGACTTGTTGTTGAAAATCCCCGAACGGATATTTTGGAGTACAGGTGGTACCCGCGGGCGGAACGGCGGGCAGGGCCCTACCTGCCGCCCCACCCGTGGGGTACGTGGTCTCTCGTGGGTATGTACCCGCGGGCAGAACCAAGGGTGGAGGTCCACCCGACCACCCGTGGCCCCACCCGCGGGGAACGTTTTTGATTGTTGGCGGGGATTTGTTCCCCGTGATTCTTTTGTCTCGGTATTGATGTTTTGACCTCCCGATGTTGTTTTATTGGGCTATTTGTGAGTCTTCTTGATGTTTCGTATGTCTAGAACGGTATGTTAGGAATCCATGTAGGATTTGGTGTCTCGAATCGTGCTAAGGGTCCAACTTTGTGATTTGTTGGGCTAATGTGAGTCTTGAACGTTCTTTGGAACTAATTTTGATTTACCCATTTGATGAACATGCTAGTTCGATGTGGATATGCTAGTATGTGTGTTTGTTCCTTCATATTGAGATTGCCAATTTGTGTTGACGATCATTTGGTGTTGAATTGGCATCCTTGGTTGATTGAGTATGGTCCCATGTCTTTATTGTGATCTCTTGATTGATTCCTATGATATGATCGTATGTAAATCGTTGAGTCTTAGTCTTCTTGGTAATGATGATGACCTTGTGTGTGATTATGATTGAGATTGATGGTATGTTACTTGAGCTTTGCTCACAAGATTGGCGATTTTGTGATATGATATTTAATGGTACCCTCGTGTACTGAGAGATCGGTGGTGAATAGGAGTGTCGGCGGGGGGCGACGGTCCCCGGAGGCAAAAGGTTGGACTCAGAAGTACAGGGTGGCACTAGGAGGTAAAGGTTGGAACCGAAATAAGGCCGGGGGTAGCCATAAAGTTGGAACAGGGCATAAGGTTGGAACTATGATACTTGTGACATGTAGTTGTCACTGTGGCATGTAGTTGCCACTGTGTGAATGTGAATTCCTTGCTTATGAGCCTGTCTTGATGTATTCTACTTTGTGATCAGTAGAATGCATCCTGAGTTGTATTGTCTTTCATGTTTGTTGTCTTGTCGTTGTTGTGAGGATGGTGATTCCCATTTCTTTTGAGAGTGTTTGATGAGTCTTTGAAGTTGACTTCTCTCCTTGGTTTTGAAATGATATATATACTGTATTCTGTTTCAAAATGGTTTTGATTATATTTATCTATATATGTTATTTAACGCGTATTGATGGGTTACCAGCAATATTCGCTGACCGGGTGTTATCTCCATATTTATTCCCTTGTTCTACAGGTTTTGAGTAGATGACTGAGAGCGTTAGATGTGGATCGCTAGATAGATTAGCTGTCCTGTGTAGACGTTATCTTTTGTTGGCCTGTGAGCCTAGTTTAGCGGCCTGTGTGCCTAGACACTTTCTATTTTGTTGAATTGATAGTTTTCTCGCATGTGCACCTATGTTTGAGATAGGTGTGGCATAACACGTACTGATTTTATATAGTTTCCGCTTGCTTTATGTCTTGATGATTAGACGTTTTCCTGTGCATTTAAGTTTTAATAATGTGGTAAAAATCAGGGGTATGAAACAAATTAAAACAAATACACTCGAAGAAGAGAAATATGCACTTGAAGAATGAAACATGTGCACTCGAAGAAGAAAAAATGTGCACTAAGATACAAAGTCAATCTGACTTACACAAAATTACAATAATGCCACCATATTTTTTTAGGTTGTTGATTTGGACTAGATCTAAGGTTGATATTTAACCCTATTTTGTACGTAAAGTATTCCTTCGCATTTGATTCTTTATATATATATATATATAACTGGTTCAAATACGGACAGACCATTATTGCACCGTTAGGTATGCATAAATGCACCACAACCTTAGGATGTGTGGTCATGCACCAATAGGTATGCAGAAATGCACCAATATTTGTTCAGAAATGCACCAAGGTGAAATGCACTAATGCACCACAAAAATTTTCTCAACACATTGTGGTGCATGAACCTGTGCACGCTCTCAAGGGCAGAGCCAGAAAAATTTTCTAGTGGGAGCAAATATTAAAACAAAAGAGATATTTAAAAAAAAAAAAAAACACATAGGAAGCATAACTATAAATATTATTGGATACTGACAAAAAATAAAATACATCAAAACTTTATATAAATAATCATAACAAAATATGAAACATAATTACTTTGATAAAATGATTCGAATATAAAGTACAATATAAATCACATATCTTATTATTTATATATTAAAAAATGATATTGATTTGTTGGATATGGTGAAAAAATATATTTAAACAATGATCATTGTTGGAAAATAAAATAAAATACATAATAAATGTGAGTAAAACTGGCAAGCACCACACTAAATCATATTAAGGGCATATTCAAACCCAAGAAACTTTCATAAGTTGCAAGCATGCCTTACCAACTTGACCAACTCATCTTTCCTTTATTTTATCTGTATTTTATACTTATACCTAAACATGTATTATATATATATATATATATATATATATATATATATATATATATATATATATATATATATATATATATATATATAGACACACACACACACACACACATAATTGCTAGGGCTTTACATGGGGGTGGGAGACAGCTGTTGCCACTGCTCGCACTGTAGCTCCGCTCCTGCACACCATTGATGTTGCATCATTCAATGGCTCATAATATGGTGCACGGACAACTCAGGACGCGGTGCACAACGTATGTGCATTGTGTTTGTAGTGCACTACGTGTGCATTGTCTTATATATGACATGCACCGTCCACTAATATAGATAAAGGACGACCCAGATTAATTGATTCTCAGATTCACATGTTAATATAGGTTCTCATATGAGTGCACACAATTTACTACATGAATACACACAAACTATTTCTAAACATGCTTAGATGAAGGTGAAGACTCTGGAGTATATTGTATGTATTTGTGCAGTAGATTGTGTATGCACTCATACAGCTCTTACGTTAAAACTTAAGGCGTAATTCTCAATCCTCAAAATATATATATATATACTAGTTTTTTTACGCGCTTTGCGCGAATGAGATAATGCCCAATAATTATTTTTAAATAAGTATTTCAAAGTATATCAATGCAATATTATATAGAAAATGTTCATGCATAGGTAAATAAATGTTGAATTTGTTTATTTAAATCGATAATTTAAAGTATATAAATGCAAGGTAATATATGAGAGATTGATTATAATTATCACTAAAATAAATGTTTGCAACTTTGTAATAACGCTAGTTTAAATACTTAGTCTTAAAACGATAGTCTAAAAAATACTACTTTTGGTTTAAATTTCTCTAATTCTTCTTAATTCTCTTTTGGGTAGCATTGTTATTGTTTTCATCTTCAATACATGTCCTTTTTTTTTATTGGTATTGTGTCATGTGCAATTAGGTTACTGGTAGGCGGTAGCAGCATAGAGGAATTCATCATGCAATGAGATTATGGTGTAGGAAGTTTTAGATTTGCCTTGCTATGTATATGACTGAGATTTTAGTTGTAATATGAACTCTTTAGCGTACAAACACCTATTGATATTTAGTAGTGGTAGTTTTTTCCCTACATGTTTCATGTGTTGTGAGATGTGTGTCGTAGGTTATCATGTGAAAGTATTGAACAAAATATTAATATTTATTATATTTGTATAAAATACTTGGTAAATAAATAAATAAATAAATAAATAAATAAATAAATAAATATATATATATATATATATATATATATATATATATATATATATATATATATATATATATATTTATTTATTTATTTATTTATTTATTTATTTATTTATAACATGTTTTGTATTATAAATTTGATATTTAATTACGAGATAATGTAAAAAAAGAAGACAATGAACAATGTAGTGAATATAATAAATTAAGGAAAAATGGCACTTTTTTCCCCTGAGTTATATACCTATAGCATTTTTCCCCCTGAATTATTGAAGTGGCTATTTTTCCCCCTGAAATGTTAAATGGACATATTTACCCTTAAAATAAATATTTCATTTATTTTTTTTCTCCAACAAATTATGATCATAATTTGGTTCAAACCAAACAAACACTAAAGCAACCAAACCGAAATATTCCAATTACAATTTAGAATCGAAACCCGATATTTAGAGTTTATTAAAATCGTGAACCGGAACGGACGGTTCATGTTCCGAACTGAAAAATACATTTATTGTTGAATTTAGACTATTTTAAAATAAAAACTAAAATTTTAAAATAAAGACAGTTCAAAATCGTGAACCGGATCCGAAACCGCCGGTTTACAGTTCAAGATTCAAATTTTTTATACATAATTTTAATAAATTGACATCTAAATATTGGGTTTTAGATCTGAATCATAACCGGAAACTTTTAATTCGATTGCTTTAGTGTCGGGTTCAGTTCAAACCGAACCGTGGTCGTCCCTACGTATACGCAATAATTTGTTGGAGAAGTAAAGGTAAATAAAATGTTTACTTTAAGAATAGAAATGTCAATTTAATATATCAGGGGAAAAAAGCACCACTTTTAGAATAATTGAGGGGGCTAATGTGCTTACCTAAATAATTAAGGGGGGAAAGTGCTATAAGTATATAACTCAGGGGAAAAAAGTGTTATTTTCCCATAAATTAATAAATTTGAAAGTAAGGAATCTTTGAATTGTAGAAAATAAAGATAATATAACTAATGAAATTATATTTTTTTAAAGTTTTTTAATAATGAATAATTTTTTTAATAAATAAAGCATTAATATAGACATCTAATTCTAAATTAATTAAATGCATATGTATTATTTTTTGTTGTAGCTACTAATTTATTTAATTAATAAGAGTAATAAAGTGTCGTACATACTTTTCTTCAACAATAATGAAATCAATGATTTTTTTTTTTAATTTCCATTCCTTGTTTAGACAAATTGTTTTGAGAGTTTGTCCATGACAATTGCTACAATTGCTGTCAATAGAGGATGATAATAAATAATTCAAAATATATGGTTACAATAGATATTAATATAATGATATAGTAAAAATTAACTTACAAATTTCTTTAGAAGTTTTCATGCATTGATAAAATTTTGATGTGTAAACTTGTTCAATTGGAGCTAGTAGGGTGTTAACATTGTTAATTATTTGGAAAATGATCCTACTGTTTTAGAGTCCATGTGTAATTGTAGTTATGATCAACAACTTTGTAGTTAGGCCGCGCAGGTCTGACAATGATGTAAGAACAATTTTGTCTGATAAAAAAATAATAGTATAATATTTGTAAAGCAATGTACAATTGTACCATTATAAAAAAAAAATACAAAAAATATTAATACCATAATGGCCTAAATCATTCCAGTAATACAAAAAATATTAATACCATAATGGCCTAAATCATTCCAGTAATACAAAAAATATTAATACCATAATAGCCTAAATCATTCCAGTAATACAAAAAATATTAATACCATAATGGCCTAAATTTCTTTTTTATTTAAATAAAAAATTTAAGAAAATCAAATGATTTTAAAGTAGTTCCTGATTTATAATCTTTGATGCTATGTATTTAGTCGATCTAATTATTTGACCAAAATTTATGTTAAATTATATATATATATATATATATATATATATATATATATATATATATATATATATATATATATTTAATACATTTTAACATATTCATATATATATATATTTACTAATTAAGAGTATGTTAAGAATAATAAATAGTTAACGGAATATTCCGTTACTAAAGTTTAAACTAACGGAATTTAGGGTTATTTAAGGGAAGAAAATAATATAATAGAGGGTAAATAAGGAAAATCATTAAAAGATACTAAAATCAAAATAATATGAACATTCATTTTAAGAAACAATTAGTACCAACATTTTTTTTGTTCCAGTTAAGGGCCTAACATTATTCGCTCTTATTAAATTTGTATTTGTAGATATATTATAAAAAGAGTAAAAAATTAATGTTATTAAACATGATGCATTAATCAACATTTAATATAAAACTACGTTATTTCTTACCCTAAAAAACTAAATTCCGAATCCTAAAGGCCTCCCACACTCCGACCCGACAGAGCATGTGGGAAGATGTAAATCACGGTGATTCAATGGGTTATTGTTAATTTGCCCACAATGAATTAGTCGTTATTGTTATGTTTTTTTTTAGCACTTCGGAGGAGGAAATCATTAGTAATATGTTGTCATCATTTCAATACAATTCGTATTGTCCAGAAGAATTTGGTATATACTATTTGTGGATGATTGTCAATGATTGTAATCAATCGTTATGCCTTGGACCCGTGTCCAGCATGCTTGCTGGACACGGGTAACAGTGCCGTTAGGCACTATTATCTCTTTTTTTTTTTTTTTTTTTTTTTTTTTAAATTTCAGATCACTTTGTTATAGAAGTATATGTTCATAATTTTATTACTATATGTTAATAACTATACATTCATAACTCCACAACTGTACGTTCATAACTCTATAACTGTACATTCATAACTCTATAACTGTACATTCATAACTTCATAACTGTACATTCATAACTCCATAATTGTACATTCATAATTTTCGAAGCTCTATGTTCACAATTTTAGAGCTCTATGTTCATAATTTTATCACTATATGTTCATAATTGTAAGTTCATAATGTTAGAGCTCTTTGTTTATAATTCGATCAATAACTGTACATTCATAATTCCATAACTGTAGATTCATAATCTCATAACTGTAGATTCATAACTCCATAACTGTATATTCATAACTCTATAACTGTACATTCATAATCTTCGAAGCTCTATATTCACAATTTTAATGCTCCATGGTCATAATTTTATCACTATATATGTTCATAATTGTAAGTTCATAATGTTAGAGCTCTGTGTTCATAATTTCATAATTTCATAACTGTACATTCATAACGGCATAACTGTACATTCATAACGGCATAACTGTACATTCATAATCAAAAAAAAATAACGCCGTTAACGGCAAAACACGCACGAATTTTTTTTTTTTAACTAAATGACGCGTTTTTTTTTTAAAAAACGACGTCGTTTTGGGCCCGTGTCCACAATTCAATGTGGACACGGGTCCAGAGCATAATTTGCCGATTGTAATACCGAAGGCTACTTCTAGGCCCAAGCTGTCCCATTTTGTAATATGGTATTATGACAAATTATACTGTAGATCATGATTTATATCTGAATTATAATTAAATATTCATTTTTAATTTATTAAAGATAAATTATTTGTGTATTAAAGATTAATGAATCTCTGTTACTTCAATAATGTACTTTTGAAAAAATATCATTTAATGTATTAAAAAATATACATTTAGTATATTAAAGATTTATTTTATGTTAATTGTTAACCTTATAATGTGAATTATGGTTAATACTTCTGGTTATAGAGGTGAAACTTTGGAAGAATGACCAGGGATCGAGTCTCACTAGCGGCAGTGTGGGAGCAACCTCTCAAAGTGAGGGGGGCTCCTTGTACGCAGTGAGCACCGGTCTAGCCTCTACGGTTCATGTCTTCCTTTTGGAAGAATTATGGTTAATACTTAATACTATAATGATTGGTCCGGATATTATGAGATATTGTGCTTTCAGTATGAGTCATTAAAAATTTGAAGGAGTTGCGTGAGAGTGGTGAAGGGTAAATTATTTTGTGGACTCGGGTTCACTTTGCAAGGTAGATCATGTAGATCAGAATCTAAAATACACAATTTACATACTGAATGTTCATAATTTACATACTAAATGTTCATAATTTTCATACGTACACAATTTACCTACTAAATGTTCATAATTTACATAAACAATTTACATACTAATTTAAATGTTCACAATTCAAATTGTAAACATTTAATATATACATTGTGAACATTCAGTATGTAAATTGTGTATTTTGAACATGGGTCTATTTTAGTCCACCTTGTAAGGTGGACCCAAGTCCATGGTATAACTGTGCGCCGTGAAGGTGGCTGCAATATGGCCCAAGCATTCGTGGAGCTTGTTATAAGGCTTATGGTGGCAGTGGCGGATCCAGAAAACTTTTTTTAGTGGGGACAAAACGCATTAAAACAAAAGAGATAGTTTGATAAAAAATAAAACACTTAAAAAGTATAGCCATTAATATTGTTGGATGTTGACGAAAAATAAAACGCATCAAAACTTTATAAAAATATTCATAACAAAATATGAAGCATAATTAAATAATTCGAATAAAAAATACATTATAGACACATCTCATCAATATAAAAAAAAAGTTATATATATGTGTGTAAATCTCACAATTAATTAATACGGAGTATTTAAAAATCATAAATAAATTGAATTGTGTCAGCACACGCATTGCATTCGAATCCTGACCCTCTTAAAAGATATAGCAAATTCATATAGAGGATTCAAACCCTAGCACTTTACAAAGGTAACACGCATGTCTTGTCACTTAATAAATTCACCTCTGGTTAACATTTCTCTATTTTGTAATACCTATACTATAACTCGTACTATATATACATATATACATACAGGTTATATATAGGCTGGGGGTGGGGGGAGGGCGGCAGCTGTCCCATGATGGATCCGCCCCTGTATGGTGGTGGTCTTTTTTTTCTTTTGGATGAAGATGAAAATCAGCAACCAATATATAATACGGAGTACTTCACAAATTACACATTAGAAGTAAATTACATTAAACAAAATTTATGTGATGAATTCGACCAAGAAGATGTTAATAATAATCAAACTCGTAACATTTATGTATGAAAGTCATGCTTCACCTAATTGGTCACCCTTTTGGAGCTTATTTTAAAGGCTCATTATTTATATATTGAATGTACATGTATTATTTAGTATACTACCAAATAATATACCTTCAGTATATAAATAATAAACATTTAATATATTAAAAATAAATATTTATTCATATAATGTGAACCATGATCTACCACATATATAATTTGCCGAAAGCCAGTATATATCCTTGGACCTCGGTTATACATAAGGACATTGTTCCCATGATGTATATATATATGTCATCCTCTTTTTAGTTTTTGCCTATCAACTTGTTTGTTCATACATTATTAAATTCTCTTCATTTGTATTAATTATTTGATAGTCCTTTAGAACTTTATTCTAGAACCACCTTAATTATCTAGAAATTTCATGTTTCATAAGGTATGTTTTGCATTTTTTAGTACTTCTGATCTAATTCAAATTTGAGGCTACATTCTTATCGTACTTTTACCATTAACATCTTAATTAACAAATGGCAAATCCGTGCTCTATTTATTGAGCTTGAAGAAACTACTTCCTCCTTGTCATTTTGTTATAATAATAATAAGGGAAAATGACACTTTTCCCCCCTGAGTTGTATACTTATAGCACTTTTCCCCCCTGAATTACTTAGGTAAGCACATTAGCCCCCTCAATTATTCTAAAAGTGGTGGTTTTTCCCCCTGATATATTAAATTGACATTTCTACCCTTAAAGTAAACATTTTATTTATTTTACTTCTCCCTCAAATTATTGCGTATACGTACGGATGACCACGGTTCGGTTCGAACTGAACCTGACACTATAGCAATCGAATTAAAAGTTTCCGGTTATGATTCAGATCTAGAACCCAATATTTGGATTTCAATTTATTAAAATTATGAATTAAAAAAATTAGATCCTGAACCGTGAACGGGCGGTTCCGGATCTGGTTCGCGATTTTGAACCGTTTTTATTTTAAAATTTTATTTTTATTTTAAAATAGTCTGAATTCAACAATAAATGTATTTTATTTTTTTCGTTTGGAACATGAATCAGCCGTTCCGGTTCATGATTTTAATAAAATCTAAATATCGAATTTCGATTCTAAATTGTAATTGGAATATTTTGGTTTAGTTGCTATAATGTCTGTTTGGTTTGAACCAAATTATGGTCTAATTTGTTGGAACAGAAAAATAAATAAAATATTAATTTTAAGGGTAAATATGTCCATTTAACATTTCAGGGGGAAAGACAGCCACTTGAACAATTCAGGAGGGAAAACTGCTATAAGTACATAACTCAGGGAGAAAAAGTGCTATTTTCCCTAATAATAATAATAATAATAATATTATTATTATTATTATGTTAAACCAAGTATTTAGAGTTAGTTTCTTAGAAAGTAAATAGGAGCATTACATGGAATGGATGCAGCATTATGTGGAAATAATGGGAGCAGTACATGGCTTCATGTTCCTTCATTTTAGCATTTTTTAGTGTTACTTATCTAGTATAAATAGCTTTGTTATTCAAGCATTTTAAATCATCAATCAAATTCATTTCTCTCTCTCTTTCTCTCATATATAAATACATAGATATTAAATATTTAATATATCTTATAGATATATTATATTTAATATATCTAACATTTGGTATCAGAGCCAATTAACCTTTCAACCCCGAGATATTTCCCATAGTGAAATATGGCTGCAAATTTCAATATTGTATGGTCGGGTCCCAAATTGGACGGGAAACTCGATTACAATTATTGGCAAATTATGATGTCCACACATTTGAAAGCTCAAAATCTTTGGAGCTTTGTTGATCCCGGTCTACCCGAAGGAGCTGATGCAGCCCAGACACGGCGAGATCAGTTGGCCTTGGGACAGATTCACCAAGGTGTTCATTATTCCATTTTTGGGCAATTAGCTCGTGCTCAAACAACAAAGCAAGCTTGGGACATCTTAAAGGTGTCAAACAAAGGAGTCGATCCGATCGGGCACAGAAGTCTAAGTTGCAGTCTTTGAGAAGGTTACGTTGTACGATAATTGTGAGATGACCTCTACAGAAACAGTAGACGCGTATTTCACTCGTCTTATTGATATGGTGAATAAGATGAGGTTATACGGAGATACGATTGAAGATGGTGCAGTGGTTGAAAAAGTTCTTCGAACTATGCCGATGAAGTATGACCATGTGGTGGCTTTGATCACAGAGTCACACAAAACTGAGCTCTTATCAATTGCAGAGCTGAAAGGTATGGTAGAAAGTCATATTGACAGAATTGCGTCAAAATCGGAACCACTAGTAGAAGAAGCTTTGAAGAGTCAAGTCACCCTTAATGTGACCGGCACTAATCAAAGAGGTGGAGGATCTGGTAGAGGTCGTGGAAGAGGAGGTTCTAGTGGAAGAGGTCGGAGTAACTTCAACCAAGGAGGAGGACGTGGTAACTCCAACCAAGGAAGAGGTGGAGGTAATGCCAAACAAGGTAAATTTCCATTTCATTGCTACAATTGTGGCAAGTATGGGCACAAGATTGCAGATTGTTGGTATAATGAGGACAACAATCGTGGAAATCAAGCAAACATTGCTGAAAACACTGCTGAAAAGTCTGGTGAGAGTTCTGAAACTTTACTTTTAGCCAGCGATAGTTTTTCTGCAGATAAGAACATATGGTTCCTGGATACTAGGTGTAGTAACCATATGTGTGGGAAGAAAGAATTGTTTTCTGAACTGGATGAATCAGTCCGGTCTGAAGTGACATTTGGCAATAAGTCAAAGGTGCCAATTTTGGGAAAAGGTAAAATCTCTATTCAGTTAAAGGATGTTACTCACAATTTTATATCCGATGTGTTCTATGTTCCTGAACTACACCAAAATTTGTTGAGTATGGGACAGTTGTCAGAAAAAGGATATAAGATAGATATTGCTCAAGGGTGTTGTACCATTGTAGATGCTAAAGGAGTTTTGATTGCAAAGGTAAATATGTCTCAAAATCGACTATTTCCTTTGAAAATTAAGCATACTCTCCTTGCTTGCTTTAATTCTGAAGTTTGTGATGAAAATTGGTTATGGCATATGCGACTTTGGCATTTCCATTTCTCTGGATTACACTATCTTGCGAGAAAGAAACTTGTTTCTGATTTACCTGTTGTGAATGTCCCTGATCGTATATGTGAGATTTGTGTGATTGGGAAGAAGTATAGAGATCCCTTCCCTGTGGGCAAGTCAAGAAGAGCCACAAAACAATTGGAGATTATTCATTCAGACCTGTGTTTGTTGGAGGTTCCCTCACATGGAGGTTGTAAGTACTTTATTACTTTCATTGATGATTTCAGTAGGAAAACATGGGTTTACTTTCTGAAGCAAAAGTCTGAAGCATGTGATGTTTTCAAACAATTTAAGCCTTTTGTTGAAAATCAGAGTGGTTATGAAATTAAAATCTTGAGAACTGATAGAGGTACAGAATATATTGCTTGTGATAATTTTCTGAAAGAGAAGGGCATTCAACACCAAATGACAGCTAGATACACTCCACAACAAAATGGAGTGGCTGAGGGGAAGAATAGATCTATCATGGATATGGTAAGGTGCATGTTGAAATCCAAGAATCTGCCTAAATCTTTTTGGGCAGAAACTGTTGCTTGTGCTGTCCATGTGTTGAATAGGTGTCCAACTAAGAGTGTCCGTGATAAGACACCTGAGGAAGCTTGGAGTGGGAAGAAACCCTCTATAAGAAATCTTAAGGTTTTTGGATGTTTGGCATATGCACATGTGCCAGATCCGTTGAGAAAGAAGTTGGATGATAAAGGTGAGAAGTGTATATTCATTGGTTATAGTGACGCTTCCAAGGCTTATAAACTATACAATCCTGAAACTAAAAAGGTTGTTATAAGTCGTGATGTCACTTTTGATGAATATGGTGCCTGTGATTGATTAGCTAAAGATGAAAGTTCAGTTGTTATTCCTGTTGTTGAAAATATTGTTGATGAGCAACCGATTCCAGATCATGTCCAGTCTCCTTCACAGCCAGAGTCGGCAGTTCGACGATCTCAGCGCGAGCGCCAATTTGCTCAATATCTGTCGGATGAAGATATTGTTCAATTTGCTCTTTTTGCAGATTGTGACCCTTTATCCTTTGAGGAGGCTGCTACAGAAACTCATTGGCTTAAGGCGATGGATGAGGAGGTGGGTGCCATTGAAAAGAATGGTACATGTGAATTAACAGAATTACCTCCTGAAAAGAAGTCAATTGGAGTCAAGTGGGTTTACAGAATGAAATACAAGTCAGTATATCCAACTTGAAGACGAAGACATTTTTCAAATTAAAGAAGAAAATTGGGATGATCAATATATCCAACTTGGTTTAAAGGAGACAATGTTATAATAATAATAATAATAATAGTAATAATAATAATAATAATAATAATAATAATAATAATAATAATATTATTATTATTATTATTATTATTATTTTATTATTATTATTATTATTATTATTATTATTATTATTATTATTATTATTATTATTATTATTATGTTAAACCAAGTATTTAGAGTTAGTTTGTTAGAAAGTAAATGGGAGCATTACATGGGATGGATGCAGCATTATGTGGAAATAATGGGAGCAGTACATGGCTTCATGTTCCTTCATTTTAGCATTTTTTAGTGCTACTTATCTAGTATAAATAGCTTTGTTATTCAAGCATTTTAATCATCAATCAAATTCATTTCTCTCTCTCTTTCTCTCATATATAAATACATAGATATTAAATATTTAATATATCTTATAGATATATTATATTTAATATAGATATATTATATTTAACTAGAAACATAATAAGTGTCAATACAAGTTATGTCCTTGATTTTTGTCCCTTTTTATATACTAATAAATATATACATTTTGCTTTAATTGTTGTACATTCATTTGCATTGGACAAAATCACTCTTACACCGTTATAACACCGTTAGTTTTTAATATATCTACCAATCTTACCATACACCTACATCTATCATATCTTTTTCCTATTTTTAAGTATCATTTTATTAAAATTATCATATAACAATTAATTTAATTATAAATTATATTTTAATTAAATATTTATATGAATGTTAAATTATATATGTGTATCATATATATATAATGTATGTATATTATTTGTGTATCCATATCAATATATCATATATGTGAGTGTTAGCTTAGTATTATTTGTAAATTATTATTATATAAAAATATAATTTAATTTTTTTGTTTTGATCACTATATTATTCAAACATATGATAATTCAAAAGTATCATCACTTTAAGAAATTGCAAAACATAATTTTAACTAATTTTTAAAATTTTGTTATTTACAAATATTTTAATATTGGGCATAAATTTTCGCGCATCGCGCGTACAAAATGCTAGTATATTTAATATATGTAAGACATTTTTCACTACTACAGAAAACGGATTTAACGTCTACATTATAACGTCGTCTTTTAGAAAATCCGATGTTAAATATTTAAAATTATTTTTTATTTTTTAAAAAATACATATGACGTCGGTTATTTG